ATTTCAGCTATGTAATAAGCCGCCAAATCATCTTCAAGGTCCGGTGGTAAGCAATTACACAGTACTTGAACATTGTTTTCAGCAAAGCAGCTCTTTAACAAATCATCCAAAGCTACACAACTTTTAAGAGTCTTCTTTGGTAGCCTGGTGGGGATAAAGATTGTATACATATTAAAAGGTATGCAGCAGATTATGCACACATTTATATTGATTTACAAGACTGTGAAGTACAATATGCATAGCTAATTCAAATTTCACTTTCAATACATTATTTAGGTATTTTTCAGATTTTTAGTCTGTTCAAGAAATTTTTAGCAATATTTATTTCATTTAGAATTACCATAAGGTAATTTAAGAAGAAAATGAGTCAGTTATTTATTAAGTAATATATATTAAAAAATAAATATTTGCAGTTTTTGAGTACACAGTTGTTTTTAATTTGCATAAACTTTACAAATAAAGTACAAAGTCCGAAATCCGGACATCCATTATTCGGAATGATCTAAAAATCCGGACCTCAAAGCTACAAACATTTACTGTTATTATTATTATTATTATTAATACTTTACACATGCACATTTGATTTTTCCTTCTATAATAAAACATGTGGAGATTTTCACTTAAAAAATTCATTTAAAAAATTAAAAAATTCTTAATTTCACTCAGGCACTAAATAAAATACCTCATTATGGAAAAACAATTTTGTAACCATAAATTTGTGAGATTAATAATTTGGCTCCGTAACTGAGTATCTGCTTGGCAGACATCTCAAACAGAAAAATTCACCTATTTAATATACCTGACACCGACCTGTCGAGTCATTATTTATTATATTTTGCTTCCATCACTGCATGTTTATCAATACATGACAGCTTCAGTAATAACTCATGCAGCGATGTTTAAACTTTTTTATATTAGTAATTGAATAAGAAGAGTATGGCAACCTTTTATGCTAACATTATGCTTGGTGATGAATACAGATTTTTAAATGCTCTAAGAAACGTTGAGGAGAAAAAATTCAACAAAAATTTCTTTTCATATGCTAAAAATAGATTTTGTTAATGAAACTCATAGGCCACAAGATTATATTTAGTACTATTTTAATTAAGAATAACTGATATGTTATTCACCATAAACGAGAAGCGGTGGCAGAATATGTCGGCACTGAACGGCAGAATTTAGGGAAGACGAAAGTTTTGGAATTTGGGGAAGAACCGAGTGGCAAAATTAAGGGATGAGAAGTTTATATGATTTAGGGAAAGCACTGGGATCCAAAATTTAGGTGCGGTGAAAATTTAGAACTTAGGAAAGCACTTTGTAGCAGAATTTAGGACCCGTAGAGACTGCAACAGGCGGTATTAACCGCCGGCCCTAGATAAAGCGTTGAATATATGCGAGAGTTTATTTATTCAGGACTCGGATTAGTTTTAAGCATGTGCAAAAAATAAACATAGGTATAGTAAGTAACTACTCGTAAATACAATTCAGGCTTAATTCAGTACGCAATAGGAGCAAGACAAAATTTAGCGAGACACCTGGGCTTTCGTCACCGATCTTGCGATACACAGCCAGTAATGTATAATGGACGCTATTAAGCTAGGCTAAAATTATCGTTACTGATTATAAGGCATTTCAATTAATGTAGCAGAATGCGCTGCTCCCTGATCTTCTAATTTGATCTAGCTTACTATTTTCTGCAAACTGTTATTATTGCGGCAATTTTATATAAACTATGCTTAAAATTTCGATTATGTCGAAAAGAGTTTCCAATTCTGTAGTTGCCAAAGGTTCTACAAAGCAAAACCATATTTTGATGTCCATTAAACAAAAAAGGAAATTGCTGCAAAAAATGGATAAAGGCATATCCATCTCAAAATTATGCGAGAAGTATGGCATTGGAACGTACACTGTATATGACACAAGAAAAAATAATTTTTTTGTGGAAGCGCCTTAAACAACTTAGATTGAAAGATATGTTTAATAAAGAAAACAAATAAATATTAAATTTTGATACCCTTTTGATCATAATAGTTGTTTATTTCATAAATTATGATTTCTTATTTTTAATTATATAATTTCTGCATGCCATCTTACCAGATTTAAATTGATCTATTATCCGGAATCACCAAGTCCCGATTTTGGATTTTGTACTGTATATATATATATATGTGTGTGTGTGTGTGTGTAATATATTCAAACTCAGACACAATGACCAGGAAACTGGGGAGCGGATGTAGATTAAATCTTCGGTTTTATTTTCCGCAGCATGTTACGGCTACAAACAAGTCGGCATATTAAATGTGACTGTTCCAAAAGGATTACATTTTTGATAACTTTGTAGCAAGAAAGCAGCAGCAGACAGACAGCAGTGCAGCTAGACCAAAGCGTGGAAAGCAAGTACATAATGTTCAGGATGAAATCTTAAGTCAAACTGAGCTAGTTTTGGTTCTCAAAGTATTTTGATTGGATAGTGAATATTGCTGAAAAATTATTATTGGCTGCTTGAGTTTTAGTTCAATTTCCATTACCAGAATTACATAAGAGTCATATAACATTAATTTGAGCTGCTAATTTAATCTTTTACATATATATATATATATAATCATACTTACATAACAGTATCATTTGTTTTCCGCTTATTATATCGGAGTACATCATAATTAGAAGCTGCTTCTGGACAGGCCGCAAGGAGTCCTTCCCGGTAGAGTTTAATTTTGGTATCCGGAACATCAGTGACTTCAGTAACCTGTACGTGACAAAAATCTTGCAGAGGGACCACCTGATATTCCAGCTGTGACATACTTCTATTTTTCCACTGGCACTTTACATCAGTTGATGACAACAGATTCAAGTCAGAAATATGGTTCCTTATAAAAAAATACACACATAAATTTTATGTTTCATACATAGCAAAATTCTGTCATGATTATTAAATGAATAGTTTAAAGTAGAATGGTTTTGCTTTATTTGATTATAGTAAAGCCAGTCTACCAATTTAAAATTGTCACATATGCATAAGGAGTTATGAAATATGCAGCTCGAAACAAAAACTATTGTCAACAGTAATTTAATATACTTAACACCTCCAGTTTCAACATTTTATAAAGTTTATAAATTTGGTGCATTTTCTGATATATATATGACAAAACAATATCCACACAAATGGATTTATATTTTATAGTTAATTGTCCTTTTTTTTTTTTTTTTTTTTTTTTTTTTTGTGATAGTGAATTACAATAGAATTCCGGAGCTTACATGCTGATAAGAAAGAAAGCATTGGATTTCTTTAGAAATACAGTGCTTTTCCCAAGAACAAAGAATGCATAAATTTGCATTCTATGAAGTTGTACTTTTTAAATGACCAAATTTTTAAATCTACAATCAGAATATTAGAATATGGTTGGAAAACAGGCCATAAGATTTCTTGTTTCTACCAAAATGCTTTTAATATTCTGTGATGGAATGGGATGGCTCTTATGAAAAATTGTATTGTTTGGAATGGTTTCTTGTTTCCTTAAGAATTTATAACCAGATAGCAAAGATCTTATGACAAACTTTATCTGATTAATATAATTTATGGCTTTTTCTAATGAAATTGCTGTTGCATATAGTAATTGTAGTTGTTTTGAGTAACATTTGTCCCTCCTAAATTTTCAGGAGTTTCAACATATATTTTTTCAAGTTTTTTAACATGCTATACCTGTAAACAGTTTCTGTTGATCATGTAACATAAAAAGAAAAAGAAAAAAAAAGGGGGGGGAATCTGTTTCTCCAAATATCTGTCAAAATAATTTTCATAAGTCTGACAACATTTCAATCAATTTTCTTGACTACCAGGAAAATATGTAAATGCCATTTAGTTTTATGTGAATTTATTATCACATAGTGAAAGACATAGCATTCAATTTTAAAACAAATCTGAATTTGTTTGTGTGTTTTTGGTTACTCAAAATGCTGAAATTTATTTAGGAAATTTGAATAATTTTTGGTACAATGTAATTCATATCCATCCATGTTGCTGAAATTGTTTTAATACAAGACCATCATGTCAATGTAAAGTTTTCATATGTGGAGACTTTGGCTTCTAATCATTTGTGTTAAAACAATGCAATATGGAAAAGTTTGTACTATAAATTTTGATAATTATAATTTATTCTTCTATTAGGCTTTAAATATGATGTTTCATATTCAAAGTGTTGGTTCAGTGTTTCATATTCAAAGATGTTGAAGTTCATACAATGTAATTAATTAACTTATTACAATTTATTCATGAATTTTTGACTCAGATATAAAGTTATTAGTTAAAAACTGCATTAGAAAAGCAAAATTGGTTCAGTTATTTTTAAAGTTCATATTTTATTTTTAAATGCTTATGTTTTGCTTGAAAATAGAAAGCGTTTCGTTTAATCCTGGTATACGCTTTCATAGGTTCAATATAATTTATGACACATAAATTAATTCAAAAATTTATTTCTATATATGTGAATTCAATATAATTTATATATATATAAAGAACACGTCTGACTGCACAACTTTTCTGGAAATCCTAGGTTACACACATATTAAATCATTTGTGTGCAATCAGTAAAAGTAAATATTAAAACTAGATACCTGTTGCAATACAATAAAACAGCCACACAGTGCTTACAACAGCCAGCAGCTCCACCTTTACATGAACAAGAAAATTTTTTAATTTTCAGTTCTGCTTTTTCAACAACGAAATGACCTTCTATTTCATGCGGTGAGGACGCTAGAGAACTTGTCCTCAAACACGAAGCCAAAATTTGCACATTGGATTTTTCAGGTAAAATCCCGTGTATTACCAAATGATCTGCTTTTAAAATTCTCTCTGCTTCAACAATACAGCGAGAATTTACGCCTCCTTGAACAAAATCAAATATTTCGGAAAAGTTAAGCAACTCCATCTTTGAATGTACGAAGTCAGATGACAAATCAAAATACCGAGCTTTATCCGCCATACTAATGTGTGAAAGCGCCATCTATAGGTGAATTGAATCGCGGTTAATTGTGCCACAGATGTTTGTTTTATGCTTTAGTAACTCCTCTGCAACCTTTACACTATTGTAGTACTTGTCCATATGTACATCGTGCCATAAATTTAAATATGGCGATAACACAGACAATATTGTCGCAATTAGCGATTTTCCTTGCGCGCAATATATTTCTAAATTGCATGTATTACCAGATGTCGCCTCACACACCATAAGGACTAAAATTCCATACTTTATAATTTTCTCAAGATTATATATACGAAAAGATAGCCTGCCCCTCCATGGAATGATATCTTCATCCAGCGATAATTCTTTCCCGGATTTATAAATTTTTTGAAACTTTTCTACCAAGTACGAGTAAAGTGATTTTATTTTATCAAGCCTTTCTTGGCGATGCTCATTATTACTGAAGTGCCAATACTTCCATAACTGCCGAAATCGGTTCTTTGGCATAGTATTCCCAAAAATAGGTGTATGTAATCCAGGGTGAGTAGACCAATAATCGTCTTGTTCTGGTTTTCTTACTATTCCCATTAGGATAACAAGACCCAAACGTTTTTTCATTTCTACAGCATTTGTATCAATCCAAGCTTTATTCTTTGTTGATGCATTGTCGTTATCATTATTCTGCTGATTATGATATAAGTTTGTTTGTGTGGCAAACAAATTAAATAAATCGTCCCCAATGAACAATTCACAGTTGATACTATATCTGGTGTGTATGGTACCTGTAACCCAAACCGTTCCGGACAAGCATGAAAGTTAGGTTTAAAATCAACTTCTGACCAATCATTTGCCACAGAATTCTCTTCATCACTTTCAGATTCACTAATTATTTGTCTTCCCTTACTTTTGAATCGTCTCACAATTATATCGCTCCCACTGTCCGAATCACTTTCACTATCAGAGCAATTACCCTCTTCTGATAACCGATCAGCATATATTTCCTCATCGAAGAGCATTTTGAAGGATCTCTTTAAATCTAACGTAAGTTTCCGATATTTGAAGGCAGAGAAAGACAGTCTCAAACTAACAAAACAAAGCGTCCAAGAAAAAAGATTTCAATAATAGACAGTCTAGTGAATTGGGAGAGGAAAGCAGCTGAAGCCAATGTTTCCTGATCGTCAAATGTTTTGCTATAGTATGTCTATCTGGTTCCCAGACAAAAGCCCACTGGACGAAAGCGCACATGAAAAAAGCCCACAAAAAAAAAAAAAAAAAAAAAAAAAAAAAAAGAGCACACTATGATAATTGCCCACGCGACAAATACCGTCACCACCGGAAAAACAAGGCCTCCCTTCTGCTGCGAGTGACGTCAGTCAGCCAGACTAGACCGTCAATCTCGGAACGCATGCTATTGTTAGCTGGGCGAGTTCAATATACGTAGGTGAGAGGAATAGAAAGGAAAGGTGCCGGAATGCTTTCCAACGGAAATAATTAGATCGTGGAATGGCTTTCAGTGGGTACTGGGGAAAAAAGGGATATGCTCGCTGACTTATTTCCGAACCTTGGAAGGAGTTTTACCGCTATGTTTATGCACTGTTTTATTGAACATTATGTTTAAGTACGGATTAATTTTTACCAATTTATGAAAAAAAAAAATTCGTACATAAATACGTTTTTGCAATGTAAAATTGTATGCTTATTTAAAATTTGCTTAAAGGCATAACGTTTTGGCGAAATTACATAATTTTGTTTATTCCAACGAAGTTTAATATTTATTAGAACTGTTATTACGGTAAAGTAAGAGTATTACATGAAGTTACAGTACGTAATTGTAAAGTTTTTGTTTACTTAAAGTATTGTAGAAAATTGTAACTGTAAATTTTTGATATTTATAACATTTACCTCTAATATAATAACAACAAAACATAATTATTTAACTTTTCTTTTATCTGGTACACAAAATAAATAATGTGTTTTAGTATCATATATTTTGATGGAGCTTTAAAAGACCTTTCTTTATATGAAAAGAGTATTGTATTCACTTGTGAAAGAACAAATTCAGTTTACACAGAATAAATTTGTTTCATGGAATAAAGTCCAGTTAAAAAGTAAACAGTACTTTGTTATTCTTAATTAACCAAAATTATTTAACATCAATCCTGTGCACTGCTTTCAGTTGTTGATTTAGATATGTTACAAATTTAGAGTTTGGCAACTTGCACTGTGGCTATCTGTTTAGGATGTCCTTTTGCATGGAGAACTTTCTGGGGAAATCTGCCTCATATTCTGTATTACAAATGTATAAATTTACAAAAATACCCATGCTTTTTTCTTCCAAATGACTACTTAAAACTCGTGCTAATCAAATAAATCTTTGGCAATGTTGTGCTTTGGTATAATCTTGAAGGGAGTTATTTTCTTTTTTTGCATCTGACATACTGATATTAAATTGAGTAATGCAGTTTGAAAGGCAAGCAAAATCTGTTAATTTATCTAAAGCAAGTGATATGTTCGAAAAAAAAATTAAGCGCTGATAAACTAAAGAATATTGGAAATGTCTGAAAAGTAATTTAACCAAAAAAAAAAAAAAAAAAGAGAGAGAGAGAGACAAAGAAAAGGCAAAAACACTATACAGTTAAAATGCTAACTAAAAGTATGAAACATTTTTTGCAATTAAATTTGCAAGGAATAAGAAAATGAATATGCTTCTTACAAGACTTTTTGGAATAAAATTCTTTGTAATGTAAAATATTGCGCGCGTGTGTGTGATTATGGCAAAGCCTCGAGGGCTATCTGCTTAATGGGAGGGATGCCTTTGTGGAGGACTTTCTAAGGCAAACTGGCTCGTATACACGTTACACATGGGGAAAACCACGAAAACGCCCATACAGCCAGCCCTTTCGTGGGATTCGAACCTCGGACCGAACTACCAGTGTTCAGCGACTTTACCGCTCAGCCGCTGGTGGGCCCATGTAAAATATTGCATCTAATATATAAATGTATACTAAATTTTATAAATGGCATAAAACTAAATTACACACTTCTGAATATTATTGTAATTTTCTGGTTGAAATCTCAAAGGAGGAATAGCTATGTGTATGTTTTGATTATAATTTAATAGACAGATTTCAGTTTAATATTCAATAATTAATAATTTATGGAAATGCTTCATTGATTATACAGAATAAATAAAAAACTATTTTTTATTTTTAACAGATATAGTACGTATGTTTACGCATGTTGTAGTTACTCACAGTTTTATGTGGTGGCAGCCCTGATTTGTGTTGCCTGGTGATTGCGATACCTTTATATATATAAGCGGCTAAAGTGTGTGTCGCCGATAGTTTATTGTTGCCACTTAGAAAAATGAGTGCGGAAATTAATGTTTCCACAGTTTTTAATTAATATCTCGGCCGATTAAAGTCGTACGAAGATGAGAACAGTATCGATAAATTCAGAGAATTTTTTGGAATCCGAGGATATGCGTTTTGAATTTCAACACGGCGCCGTTCCGTAGATATTCGAGAAAAAAAGAAATTGGCACGTAGCCAAATCCCTCTACAAGGGAAAACCCAAGGAAAAAAGTGGAAAATTTAGGGAAAACATATGGGAAAATTAGTTTTTAATTAATATCTCGGCTAGTCTAAGTCCCAAGAAGACACGAATGGTCAAAATGGCGTGCCATGGACCTGCGGAATCCAACAGTGTGCTTCACTAAGCCCGGGAGCCAGCTGTTTCGGAGGAGATGGTGTTACTCCACCCCATATATATATATATATATGCGGCTTAAGTGTCTGTTTGTCCCCGATAGTTTATTAGTTGCTTGCGTAACTGTACTACCCAATGGGGTGAAGTTGCCACGGCACAAGGTTGCCATTTCAATTGAGACGTAGACAATTTCCTGTACAACTTACCTTTGCTATGACCATCAATAAGTCTCAGGGCCAAACGCTTAAGTGTGCTGGCATTTTTTTACCTGAGCCTGCATTTGGACATGGTCAACTTCATGCTGCCTGTTCAAGAGTTCGTGAAAGAACGGACGTAAAATTAAAAATGATGGAAAGATCTACACAAGAAATGTTATGTACAAAGAGATCTTTGACATGTGAATTAACATTTTATTATTTAAATCACCTTTATTTATTGAGCTAGCAGTGACTCTTAAGAAATGTACCGCCAATGGTTTCCTTCATTGCACTCTACTTTAAGCAAGTAGAAGGGGACAACCTCGTGGGGCAGTAAGCAAAGGGGCGTCCTCGCTGCCTGCCCTGGGTAATTCAGTTTAAATAAGCAGATGCCTTTGCACAAATAATTTTAATTACAATTTATAATATCTAGAACAGCGGTCATTTCGTATGACTGCTGGGCTTTCTAGTGATTTCCATAATCATGTGGCCTGTATTTGAATCCTGAAGAAGATAAACATTTTGTAGTCATCTACTCACTGGATTGTCAGTGATGAGATGGCTAAATGACTGATGGATTCCAACCAATGCTTAATAAATATCTAGTCATTGAGATGTCCATAAAACATAAATTTTTGTGGTGTTTAGCATTGCAGACATTCAATATGCATCTTTCTTTTTTGGTGGGGGTTGGGATAATAAACAAATACTGGAGTTTTTCAAAATTTCATGTTAGTGTAGGTTTTAAAGATGGTGAAAATATATTTTCATGTATTGTTTAGAAGGAATTTTAATAGGAATATTGTTGGCTTTTGTTAAATTTAGACGTGACAATGTCTGCAAATTGATACTTTATTTTTGAACATATGATTGTATTAATTACATAACATTTGGGATTTGCAGATTACTCCTCCATAAGCATATCATATACACTGCTATACATTAAATGTGCTACACCAGGAAGGAAAGCAAATAGCAGAATCTTATTTATTACACATATATACAGAATAGTGGGAAGAAAACATGATTAAATTTTCTGGTGATTAGAGGTACACAGCGTACACACATAATTCAGTGCACAGAGCTGTGTCCTTTCTAGCAAAAACAATGGTTATAATCCAGCTCAGCATCGAGATAAACACAACTTGGATGATTAGATATGGTATTTCATTCCATGCAGCTTCAACCATATGCCAGAGTTCATCGTAGTGATTAGTGAGTGGTGGCATTAAAATCAACTGTTAAGAGTAAAAATAAAAATTTTTAGTTGTTAAATCATGTCTGTTAAAAGTTTAAAATTTATTTTAATAGCAGCTGTATGTTTCTTTTAATTGTTTCAATTTACACCTGTCAATTATATTTATTTTTGTGTCTAAATGTTTTTAAACAATTATGTCCATCTTTAATACCTGTACATAGGACAATACAATCTCACATTTAGTACTTCTGGAACACTGCAAATGCTAGGAAAACTTCCACGTAGAAAGCAATAGTACAATTGTATCCTGGTATCTACATATAACAATGGTGGAAAAAGTAATCTTGAAGTTTTAAGTTCTACGCCTAGTGATAAATAGTGTATGGCTAAATATGAAACACAACCATAGAAACAAGCTAAGCACTGAAATTCCCACTGTAACCCCAATTATATTCACATGCATGTGTTTACCCATCTTCCCAAGTAACTTTATAAATTCTGCAACAAATTTTAATATTCTGTAGAGATTTCTGGCTAGGCCTAGCGACAATAAAATGCTCTGCCAATTGAGTATAAATGCTGATAGTAGTAATCTAACAGGCAGTAGAGCAGCTGAGCTGGGGGTAAGTAAGTAAGTAATGAATGTAACTAAATGGGTAAATGGAAATGTTACATTGGAATGTATGTATTTTCAGGTTACATATTGCTGCTCAGAATTGAACACTTCTTAATCGATCTCTTCCTCATGATGCTTGTAAGTGTCAGCAGAGGACGATGCTATCAATGGTCAAGCATCAAACTTTCTTGCATACACAGATTTTTTCTATTAAAATTCTCTCAGCTCCACTTTTAACTATTTGCTTTTCTTTAGTTACATTCAATTGCATCTCTTGCACTCAGAAACTTTTTTTTT